TTAAGTCGACTGTAAAGAAGGCTTGCTGGCGCCTCGCGCTTCCGTCAAAACTAGTTTGCGAGCTCGCCGGTTTGGCCATACCGCTTTTTGTCCAAACAGTATTGCTCCAATAAGGCAGGGTATCTTGCACAACTTTGCGATAACATCTAATGACCAAGCCGCCCCATTTAGTCCATACAAATATTTAGACTGCTCTCTTTTGCTGTTTAAGTTTATTCACTTAATACTGTACGTTGTCAAATAGTGTTTAACGCGTCAATAGATTGCAAACAATGTGAGTCACATGTTTGTAATTTTCGTTGGCTTCTGCTAAGGCTTCCCCCGAAGCTGAGGATGATTACATTGTTCCGGAGACGGTGCGTTCACGGGAGGGTGAGAGTAGTCCGGTGGACGAGGAGGCTCCAACAACACGCCGAAGAAGTCCACGGATCACGGAGGCAGTGGAAGAGCAGGGTGAAAGACGAAATACGACCAGTGTCGTTGCTTCAAGGGACAACTGCATCAACGAGCACAACAACCTCGCACCCGGCCTCATACCAGCTTTTGATCCCAACCCGCGAAACCGAAACGCGTCAGCGTCATCGGAGTTTGTCCTAAGGTATCCGCCAGGTTCTCCATCTTCGCCGGATGCCTACGCCGTCAAGTTGACACAACCTGGTGGGTTAACATTTTTTGTTTACTCCATGTCGTCCAACTATATTTAAACCATACTGTTAACACAGATATTAGATGAAAGCTCAGACACATGTTTCGTCTATATTCTGCTGCTGTTTGGCACAATCGTGTGTGCTGGATTAATCACTCGGTCTCCCATGTGCTTTCGGGTAGATGATCAAGTTTTGAAATGGTTGCTTTTAATTTTGTCAGATATTTAATTTCCCACCTGGAGTCAATGGGTTTATACTGCGGTCTGTAGGCGCACATCCAAAGTTGCTGCTGTTACAAACCGCGGCAGCATATCAGCGAAACGCGTGGCTGGACCTTTAGCTAGTATCTGTGCTGTCATTATGCTGTATCATGCAATGCCAATGTATGCTACTGGCTGCCTGCTGACAGTTTAATGAGCACAACATAGTTATCCCACTGTGGTTGATATTTTGACATATCTTCACATCAACTGTCAGTTCGCGCTTATACACCGTAGTATAAATTGATTTAATCCAATTTGGCGATCACTTTCTGAGGAAATTAACAAAAGCAAAATACTTGAACCACTGTAAGCCATGGGCCGGCAGCTGGTGATCAGTAGTAAAGCGGAGGTGGGCATTCCAGCCCCAATCATAAGTATGTTGAATCATTCAACACTTGTTCTCATCCATTTCTGATCTTAGTGACATTTAAAGGAAATTAGGTGTGTTAATTTTAATCATTGTTTTCATATATTAGTCGGACTTAATAGGATCAGTGTAGTGGAAGCACAGTTTTAACTGCAACGTAGTAAACATTCTTCTAAGTTGGTACACAGTACGCTTGTTACTGTATCGTGTTTGCAAGTATTGTTTTGCGGACCAAAACATGACGACATCTCGGGCAGTCCGCTTCATGAGTCCACAATACGGTTTGGAAAAGATACTTTCTCACACACACAATCTGCCTTAGGACGCATGTAATTTGAAGAAATGCCCACGAAGGTTTGTTGAAGTGCTGCGTCGAAAGAAGTCACCACACTCGTCGTCTTGCGACAGCATGCAGGCATCCTAGACTAAAACAGCGAAAAATTGGATTTCATTATACCCCACCCTGCCACAAAAACACATCATTAACTTTTAGCCTTTTCATCAGAAATGAATTTCGCAGTGGTTGGTGGACTTCAGCCCCAATATTCATATCGAATTTCAGCCTGCGCCTATACACCTTCGAATATACTGATTTACTTCAAGATAGGGATTAGTATTTGAGGAAATTAAAAGGCCAACATGTAAAAAGTGGGCTATGTGATTTTGAGTTTTACTTTAGGGCACTAAATCATTTAGAATGGAAAAAAGGGGGAGACACGATGACTTCCAGTCGCGACCTTAAAACAGGTAAACGGTTTTTATCAAATAATTCGTACATTACCTTGCCTGGTTTCGGTAACCTCTTTTGAGGTGCTTGCTTGAAGAAACGCGACTCATCTGATATTTATTTTAAATATCACTGTTTTTTTGGAAATGAGCCGTCCTAAAGAATTCCCCGTCCGCCCACGTTACTCTGAGCTCTGTTGCTTTCAGATAAAGCGCAGCTTGTGATCACCCTGAAAGCTTACCTTCGCGATGGATCCTTGATCGCCTCTATCCGGGCCAAAGACAACAATCGTCCAATTTTCAATTACTTTTTCGTAAGTTTTTGCCTATTTTGTGGTGCATTTCCATTCTAAGGTGCATACGAATTGCATGTGCCATGAAAGTTGTTTGCTGTATCCTTACACCCCACACTTTGATTGCTTCTGTTTTGTAGCAACTCGCCGAAAAGGTAGTCTACTGGTCTAAGCTGACGAACTCGCCTCTTCTGGACTCTGTGATAGATGAGGGCGAAGAGGGCGCAGCTGAACGACTGACAGTCAGAGTGAATTACCGTTTCCGTACTCCAGAGGATGATCAAGAGGAGGCGCAGGAGGAGGAGGAGGCAGGGGAAATGAAAGCTCTTGGAACCATCAGCGACCGTCGTATTAACGCCGTAGACAAGGTGAGGATATTTTTCCGGGTTATTTAATCCTCAAAATATGCAGCCTTTCGTCCTAAGTACTGCCGAGAAAGCAAGCTCGACTAAAATAGCCATTTCAAGTTCAGTCGCTCCCCCCGTCGGTCAAAAAGACTCGTATCGGTGCATGCTCCCCAAATGAGACTTTGAACTTTTCCAACCGCATGCGACAGCGCGCAAACCAATAGTAGAGAGCTTGCTCAGTGGACAGGCTCAGTGGACCTCAGACTTTCCCAAGTTGGGACTTGAGGTTTGGTTAGCCGAGGACCGCAGGCAATGCAACGATAACTATTCCAGCACCCGCTATCCACTGCTTGCGAACGCCTGTATGTGCACGTGTTAGAGACTTTTAAGGGCTGAGACTCAATTTGACCAAAGTGAATCGCCATTTAGAGAACGGACGGGCCACCACGTCATCATACGCCTGACGTAGCGAATCAGCACTCACACCAAAAAGTTATCGATTTTTTTTTGTACACGTTTAAATTTTAACTTTCTTATGCGGCAAAACTCCTGTGCACACACTACCTGTATCTGCTACTGCGCTGTGATTATGCCTCAGATGATAAATCCGCGACGGATATCGAAACGTCAGGCGAGTAAAAGTATTGGCCCAGCGATCGAGTCGTCTTCTGCTGAACTCTAAAGCGTCTTAGCCACGATGTCTTGATTCAGCACTAGTCTCCCGTGAAAGAGGAAACAGCAGTACGAGATGGCCTATATGGCATTTTCGTTCCTTACTTGACGCATTTTGGATTTTTGAAAGACCCTGAGAAGGCACCATATTGACCGATTGACTCGGTCCTCCTCCGGAATGAAGGTTAGTGTTGGTTGAGGACACCATATTTCGAACGTTGCAAGCGACAAAACCCATCGCTATTTCGAGTGCGCATTGGTGGCGTATCCGTGGGCGTCTACTTTCGCAAACTCTGCTGGATTGCATTGCGTACAACTTCGTGGTTGAACGTCCGGATAAAGTTAAGCAGACTTTAAACCAGTTTCTGAGCGGTGTCGTTACATAACTCATCGTCTACGCATGCGCGTAACGAATTAAGGGCTAGTACGACAGTTCGAACGGCGTATCAGACGAGTTCCAGCATAAAGCACAGGGACGATGATTTACGCGTTAATTAGTTGTAAATGATGGTAGACTTCGCTGAATCTATCGCACTCTCTCTTCGTCCACCCACCTGTGCATGTTGTCGAGTCAAAGAAGACTGGAAACATAATCGGGCGCAGATCGCTGGCGCGGCGTGAGCCTGCACCTAAACGTGCCACCCTACCCATGTGCAGCTGTTATTATGGAAGCGTATCCCGAATAACACCTGTCGTGTTCCCCAACCTAAGCAGACTGACATCCATGTGATCTATGAGAATGCCCTGGAAGTCGTTCTTACGGGGGTTGCAAAGACCCTAGTAACAGTTTTGCGTCCTTGCGCGACCAGTCTAGTGTAACCTTTTTTTACCTTGGGTTGAATTCTCGTTTTTCACTTCACTTCTAAATTACCGGAAGTCTATAGGCTTTTGAGAATGTTGTTGTCGTTAAAAA